TTTCGACATTACTATTCTTCGTATTTTTATATTTAAAAAAAAAAACATTGCTTCACCCTAGGTTTTCTCCTGTGTTATGGGTGCGTTTGGAAACATACAACTTCACATGCATATATGACAACCAGACCCGAAACAACAATTTGTTGATCACACAAAGAGTTGCTCCGTGCACAACTCGAACCCGCTACATGTTGTACGGCAGCCAGTTGCCGACCCACCGCGCCAACCGTGCAATTACGGAGGCTATTATTTAATTCAACTGTTGTCAGTGTGAAAATATGTTGTGTGATCCACAAATTGTTAGATAAAGATAAGATAAAGGCATTTATTTGCATAACACATGTTATACAAAGATGTTATATCAATATAATAGAACATTTTTGCTTAATAAATAAAGCATACAAATTTTAACTTATAACTTCAACTTGTTGTTTTGGATTTCGGTGTAATGTGTATATTAGTTTCTACATGTAGTTAAAAAAGCTCTTTAAAATCATAAAAATGTTATATGAAACTATCAAGTACATTGATATTACTAGTCTTTGTAAATCCCGTTCAATATTTGAAAAATAGGCGTCTCTATTCCCTGTAATTTCTAAAAGTTTTATGCAATCGTTACACCATCTAAAACATTTTATGAACACAAACTTTAAAAAAAACCCACGGAAAACCAATTCAGGGAGGGCCGACCGCACGCATCCGGTATTGGCTACAAGTAATAACATGATTAAATCTTGAATATTGCGTTGTGTATTCATTAATATGTCATAGGTACTTACATCACAACTTATTTTAAATTTTCCCTGTTATACAACAATGAACTCTATTATTTAAGGCCAGAAATGCTCCTGAAATAGAAGAAGCAACTGGGAGTACAAAAAACTTGAGTGTTTGTAACCTATGATTATGACAGTGTCACACACAATTAAAGATTAATCTTAGTCTATAGAGTCTCAGTTTAATAAATTAACGAACTCGATCATCGTTAGCCCCCACACAAACAACACTTTATTAACACTATACGGCTTGACGTAGCTAAACATAATATTATCAAACCTACAAAATAAATAAAAAGGATGTGTTGCCTCATATTGTGTAAGTCACAGCTTATAAAGGCGTAGTACATTGCACACTGAGGAATGTGTTTAAACATTACATATCCAATTGTTATGTTGACAATTTGGGTAGGAAACAGGGCGAAACGCAAACAGCTAGTAAAGGTGGCTACCATCAAAGAAAATTCTACCTTACACAAATGATATAAAGTCAGAAATCGACGCGGTTGTAAAGTTGCAAAAACATTTTGCCAAGACTAGTTTAGTACTACAAGAGCTATTTTTACATTTAATGACAAAAAGTGACAGTTTCGCATGAAATTGAATAATTAATCTCTGAGAAAATTTCATCATTGCTGTTCAGTGCAATACCCATAGTATACAGAGCAACACAAACATTTAAACTGATTTACCGACATACAATACAGTTCAATATTATTTAACCATTCACATCCATTCATGAAATACGTAACGTCATGCCTTTAAATCCGCTATGGGATGGGCAGAGGTGTATGTATACATATAATGTAACACAAACGTGTCATTACTTGCAAAAGTTATAGACTTCCATGGAATAAGGGATGAGATTATTAATATCAAATACAGAGTCTGAAATCTGGTTATCCGCAGATAAAAAGAAAAAAATCTGTAAGATTTATGTACAACCTAGTACCAGCTATAGTTGTATTTAGCAATATTATACCTAATGAGTAATACTTATACAAATTGCGATTACAAACTACAACTCATCAACTATATCGATATGTAGCAAACTCGTTACAAAAACCACTAATAACAATCGATAAAGTTTAGAATTTTTCTGTAATAGCTACTATAGGAAAACCGAAATTAATTTTATAACCAGTTGCGTAAGACTGTTGTTAAATTATTATAGTTATATTTAGTAGTTCCATAGTATCATCGTGGATAGTAAAATGATCGTTCTTTATGTAGATTTTTTATATAGATATTTTATACCACGACGGTGCGCAGTGGCAAGAAAGGCACTCAGCTCACCTGATAGTAAATGGTTAAGTAGCCCATGAACGCTTGCAACACTTGGGACATTATATGTGCATTGCCGACCCTGATAAAATCTATTAACTCTCTTCTTGAAAAACTCCATGTTGGAGCTTACTGAGAAAACCTCGGCAAGGAGTTCATTCCACAATCGGAGGGTCCGAACTGTATGGGACCATTTGGGCTCTAATATATTGAAATTTTTATTAGTTTCAGTAATATATATATAATTTAATCGTAATATTTAATATTTTCAAGTATTATTAACTAATTTAAACTGTCAAACACCAAGCGGTCACCGGTGACCGCAACCTATTGTTCTATAATTGTGTCTACAAAACCGGTACTCGACGAGTTAATAATAGAGTTAAAAATAACTCATATACATATTAAGTCGTGTAAGATATTGTACAACTATACAGGAAAACACTACAAACCTATATAGGTATATAATTTTTATTTGTACTTTTCTTCGATTGAAAATGAAGTAAAAATTTTACAATATTGTTAATTTTGTAAGTGATAATTGTACAATCTGTACACATACAGGACACAGGACATAAAATACACACGTCAACATTGCCGAGGGATATTTAATTTTTACCTTAATATATGATATTCGGTAAATATTTTGTTAAAATAATTATATATGAAATTGAAATTTATATAATGGTTTATACTTGCAATACATAAAAAGAGATGCAGCAAAGATATTTTTATAATTTTTTTGTGATTTAATTTTTGGGTGTAATTTTTACTTTATGTATATTTTATGTAGGAATTTGCATAACATCGCGACTTTTATCTTCGAAGGAGTAGGCAGAGGTACACATTTTGCCACTGTACAATGTAAGACCCACTTACTATTTATGTTATGAGTCCCATGTAATAGGGGGTAAGCCTATAATTGTCATATAAGCCTATGGGCATAATTCCAGACTCCGTGCTACTACTGAGAATTAAAAAAACCTAGTATTACTTTGCCCGACCCGGGAATCGAACCCGAGACTCCTTGTCCGGCAGTCGCACTTGCGACCACTTGGCAAAATAACAAAAAGGCATTTCATTTAAGTTGATAATCAATATTTCCTCCCCTAACATTAATTAGAGTTCGGCATCGTTTGTAGGTAGGTCCAATTTCGACAAAGAGGTCGCCCGAAGAATCCAACTTGGATGGGCAGCGTTCGGGAAATCTTCTCATCGAAAATCCCTCAGTGCCTAAAGACCAGGATGTTCAACCAGTGTGTGTTGCCGGTGATGACATATGGCACCGAGACGTGGTCCCTGACCTCTGGCCTTCTGGAGAAGCTCAAAGTCGCTCATCGTGCGATGGAGAGCGCTATGCTCGGGGTTTCTTTGCGCGACAAAATCCGAAATATGGAAATTCGCCAAAGAACAAGAGTTACCGACATAGCTCGCAAAATCTGCAAACTAAAGTGGCAATGGGCAGGCCACGTCGCTCGAAGGACTGACGGCAGATGGGCCAGGAAAGTTCTAGAGTGGAGACCACGGAACGGAAGACGAAGCGTGGGCAGGCCTCCCGCTAGGTGGACCGACGACATGGCCAGAGTTGCGGGGAGCCAGTGGATGCAGGTGGCGAGTTATCGTTCGACGTGGAGGGCTAAGGGGGAGGCCTTTGTCCATCAGTGGACGTCTTCTGGCTGTTGATGATGATCGGTTGTTCTTGCTCATAATTAAGTTATCCAAGTCGAGCTGTGGTATCAGGTCCCAGGTTCTTTTGAAGTGCAGGAAAAGCTGTTGCTCCGTTATCAAATATGGAGAAAAATTAACCATAGTTCTTCGTTGTAACATGTCCCATGCGTGTTCAATGGAATTCTTGTCGGGGGACTGAGCAGGCCAGTCCATAACCCTGATGTCATGTTCCCTAAGCACAGGTAATACCAGCTCACCCGTATGGGCACAGGTATGATCGTGCATGAGTCGGAACTCCTGACCCATTTGTGTGTGGAATAATCACAGATACCACTACTTCATTGCGGTATTTCAATGCATTCATGTTTACTCTTATCCAAATGTTATCGGTTCGCGCACCGATACGAAAACCAGCTCATGTCATAATAATGCCGCCTTGATATGAGTGGACTTCTTGTGGATGCTGGAGACGGATTCTTTTACCAGGAACTCACCAAATCCTTATTCTTCGTGAATTCGGATGAAATCCAAACCGAGACTCATCAGAAAAAAGCACCATGGACCGTTGCTTGTCACTCTGTGCGAAATATTGGGTTGTCTAGAGATATTTTCTCCTGTCCCTAGACAGGACCATTTTCTTCAGTGCCTGAATTCAGGGCATTCAGCGAGATTGTATGATTGTATTGATTGTAGCACGATATCGTGAACATAACTGGGAGATTACATTTTGGCCGGTTTTCAGAGCTTAAGCGACTACGCGTTGTTTAGCAGTCGCTTCCAATATGCCAACAGCTCTAATCTGCCCTTCCCTTGTCAAATGTCAACGTGATGTCGATGAATAAATGTAACTCACGTTGAAATTAAGACAAAGTAAATGTGTAATTGCTTTTAATTTTTAAAACCTCACAGTTTTATTGTAACGATATTATTTCGTTTCAAAAATAGTTTTGTTTTTTATTTCGTTTTTAAATTCTTTTTCTTATATAATTTTAATTTCTATTTTTCTTCGATTATAAACTATAAGTATAGATAAAAGAGAAATGTTAATTTGTTAATAATAAATACAATTTGCTCTCTATAAAATTATAATTAAAAAAAAATGTTAATGAATACAGTACCTACATCCAGACTAACTATTCAGGGAAAGGGTGATATTACGTGTGTTACAATCATACTGCAAAAATAAGGAAAATAAAATACCGACATCGATTGAAACCATTATATATAAACAAAGCGATTCAATTAAATCAGTTATACTTTGTCACTCACTGAAGTAACACCATCCAGCAGTTGATTTTATATAACTTTAAAGTTATATTATTAGTTTGTCAAAAAAACGACTTCATTTCGAGTCATAATGATGGCATTCGGGCTGTTTTTATTAGTGGTAAATATTTTATTACTTATTACAGAATTTTCATCAAACGAACATAAATTATAATACAATGGTTGCCTGGTAGATATCGGTTTTAGCGATAAGGCCGCCATCGTAGCCTATTTTCTCTAATTTGTAGCTCGATATACTGTCTAAAATTGGTGTACAATAAAGATTATTATTTATTTTTTTTCATTATAAACGTATATAAACACGTCGAGTACTTGGCTCTCATATACAACAGTATTAAGTTGACGTTAAGTTTAAAAAAAGAGTGACGCTTTTCTATAAGCGATTATTTAAATTTCTATAAGAATTTAAATTGTTTACAGGTGCAGATATCTCTTTTGGGAAGCAATAATGGCACTCCGTTGGGGGGTAAGTTGAAACAACTGTTTTTCAAGTTTTATAAAGTACAATATGGTAGTTACAATCAATTTATTTTGTTTAACCTTCTTTCAGCGAGCTTGGATATTGATGTTCCTGAAGAATGCAAAGGACAAGGTTTCTGTGCCGTCAGACCTCAAGGCTATGATGCAATTGAAAAGAGGCTCAACGACATTCTGCCGCGACATAATATGATTGTAAGATATTTATCCACAATACTATCCGACTATACATATTATTGCCATATTCTTAAACTAAATATCTAGGTATAATTGACACTTCGGAATTAACAACTGTCTTTGCTCAGTATTAATTTGGAAGGATTTTACTAAACAATTTTCTTTACAGGATTTTCACACGAGATCTAGTGAATCTACAAACCCTGACGAGAATGCGGATAACTGCCCGAGCATAGTTACGGTACGAAAATCCTTAATGTTCTATCTAATCATCACTCGAGCCAAATTAATTTCATTTCCTGCTTACTTATAAAATTAAAACCACATACTAAATAATCTAACGACATTTTTTCCAATTACGTTATAAACCCCATGCAATGTAAGCCTTCTGTAATACACTAGGCCAATTGTAAATTCAATGCTAACTACAAATCAAGAACTGTAAAAGTCAATGATGCTTTTTCTATCTCAGTAATTCAAACCTCGGCACTCGAATAATGAAAGTTTAATTAATATATTACCTACTACATATTAATGAAAATTTAATCTTATCTTATTACGTTACAGACGAAATCGGTTTATATATATGGCCACAACCCTGAAGAAGTAGACATCATCGTGCAAACCAAACTGATACCCCAACAAATCACAGAAGTTAAATGCGCGTGAGTATTTTTTACCGACTTCTAAAAAGGAGTTTCTCAGTTTGTCCTGTATGTACCTACGCAATTATCTCGCTATTGTCTGGACCGATTTAGATGTGTTTTTCAGAAAAGTATTTGTTACACTTAACAGGTTTTAATTTTAAAATTTAAAAGAAAAGTAACGTTTTATAAACTTATGCTAATGAGAACTACTTTTTGTTAAACATGTCAGTTAAATACTTAGTCAAGAAACCTTTTTTTATTCTTGTTACAGGTATGATCAGATGGAAAATGGAGACGAATGCTTCGCGAACCTGGGACTCAGTAATTTGGGCATGAAGTCTAGTTGCCAAGAGCATATAGCGGAACGGTCTTTACTAGTTTATGACCCTCGCATAGACAAAGTTAAGATGAAAAATTATAATATTACTGTCTGCTGTTCTTGCCACGTCACAAACCAATCCTAACAACTTGTTTACCTTTTCACATAACAACGATCTTTAATTAAATAATATCAATGTAATTATTAGATAAGTAATAAATATTTGTATTTCACACATCTGTTTTTGTTGTTATATCCTATTTCCAAAATTGTATATTTATAGGTACCATTCAACTTATGAGTGTAACTATAAAATTGACCAAGTTAAGCGTAATTTTGAAAATCTCCAGAGACCCATTAGTAGGTTTAACGTAGGGTTCAATGAATCTATTGATACCCTTAAACGATGCGGATTTGCTACAGTAGTTACAAATCTTTAAAATAATCATTGCTCAAATGTTTTATGATCTGCAGCCATTTAGCTACGATTGTGGCCAAACCTCAACCTTAAAAAAGTAACATAGGTCCTATTTAAATATATCCATCACTTACATACCTAATATGTTTTTTTTAAACTAGGTTCAAAACACCTTTGATTTTGCAAAAGAAATTCAGCTTCATATGCCGTGACTGCTAGCAAACGACATCTTTAATGAAGCATATTGAAAAATCTTGTAAATTTACCTACATAAAATTATTAACAAACAATGTCGTTAGTAATTAGATATTTCTTTTTAGATTCTTTATTTTGATACTATTTAATACTAGCTTCCGCCAGAATCTTTAATTTCTTTCGTCGCATAGTAAATTGGTCTGGAATTACACAGCAGTAGATTATTCTACTGCTGTTCCAAATTCCATCACGATTCCTTCAGCCGTACAAACAAACATAGAGGTACAAACTTTCGCATAGTAGGTAATAGGATAAACATATATAACTATATACACTACACTTATGTGCTATAGTTGCTCTAGTATTCCTTACTATTTTTGTATCAACTCTGTTCAGTAGCAAAACACGGTGACTTAGTCCAGATTCTACTGCACCCACATTCCACACATACTTACTATTCGTAATATGTAACGCTTAATTAATAAACTAATAAAAAACGTACACTTCCTTGTTGGCCGAGTGGTCGCAAGTGCGATAGCCGAGCAAGGGGTCCCGGGTTCGATTCCCGGATTGGATAAAGTATGACTGGTTTTTTTTACATCTCAGTAGAAGTGTGGAGTCTGGAATTTTGCCTACTATATGGCCGGAGGCTCACTGCCTAATACATGGGACTTAAAATATAAATAGTGAAAAGTGGGTGTTACATTGTACGCTGACATTAGGTCCTGTAATGTGCACCTCTACATATCTCTTTGGGGATAATGCGTGATGTTATGTTTGTTAAAAACGTAAACATTTCTACTATAATTCGTTATTTAGTTTTTTGTGTATGACACTAATATATTTCAATATTATACACAACAAAAAAACGTATTTTTACCTGATTGCCTGATTACCTGATTGCCAAAAATAGAAAATCGTAACCCATCATGACCGGTATGTAGCGTACCCATGTATGTATGTTTATTCATCTGTTCCCTCCAAGTCCTAAACTACTGGGCATGATTAGATAAATAGTATAATTAGAAGCGTCCCATTAGTTCGCTGGTTATAGCTGCATTGGCGCCTCTAGAGGCTAAAAATTCGTGATTAGATTTCGGAGTTTAAATTAAATTTTAGAGCTTAAATATATTATATTTAATGTGCTCTAAAATTTGAAAATGCTTTAAAAATTAGAGATTAAATTTTGCTAATTAAAACCAAACTACGAAAAAAAACACACTCTAAAAAGTATCATGCAAGAATATTTTCTTTACATGTTCAGCCATTGCCATGTATTGTAGAGCTATGTGGCATAAGACCACGGTTATTCTCTGAACATCCATAGAAAATGTTCTTGTTTGATACTTTTTCAAGCGTGTTTTATAAGGTTAGATCTTTCAGGAAAAAGGAAATTTGATTTCAAATTGATACAGTTCAAAATTTCTTCCACGAAGGTATTAATTAATAATATTGCCTTATTCTTAAGACTTCTGTGGTAGGCCTTTGCCCTGCAGTGTGACCGTCATCGCTGAAAATAAATAAATGAATAATGTATTGTTGAAAAACATTTTAAACGCGTTTAGGCACGATTGCGTTATTTTGATTTCTCACGGAGAATAAAATAATATTGTTTTTTCTTATTTGGTTAATTCTGTAAAGAAAACAAACTCCACAATATTGGAACTATGGTTTAATAGTATCGTTTCATTTAATTTAGTAAATGCTTCTAAAAATATATAGATTCCTGTAAAGACAAACAAAATAACACATATCGAAGTAAGGTTATTGATAACATAAGTACCTATTTCACGTATTTTTGCTGCTTTTTCCTCCCTGTATACACGTATATAAAGGAACTACAATGGTCTTTGATATTCACTTGTCAAATAATCGCTAAACCGAACTGGACAAAACTGTATTTGTTATTTTTATTAAAATGGATCGATTTTCCATTTCAATTTGCCTAGTAAGTAAACCTGTAAGTTATTTACTGGGTGTAAATATTTTCTTTTTTCTGGTTATTTATTAGTTGTTAACATTTTCAGATCGCTGTGACCTTATGTTTTTCTAAATCAATGGGTAATCCCGTGGACGGTGAAATACTCAGCGACTGGAACACTGTCCAATGTAAGTGTGTTTTCTTTACTCGTTTCATAATCATCACCGTCATCATCATCATCTTCATCATCAACAAACTATAAATGGCAACTGCTGACCACGGAAGAGGTTTGAGCATTAATCACCTCGCTTGCTCATTGCTTCGGTTGGTGTTTTCAAACTTATAATTAGAAATTAAAAGGCCAGGTTTCCCCACGATATTTTCCTTCACCATTTGTTAGTAGTTGTAAGTGGTGTCAAAATAATCTTAGAAAGTACATAAAACTGGGAAATAAGAAACATACCGAGCGATGGCGTAATTTTTACCATTTATAGCTTTTTTTCGTTTACCTAATAACTTTATTAGGTTAATTTAGAACAATCACAATTATTTTTAAAAAACTTACAGACGAGATGCCTCCATCATGCGTTGGCCAAGCTTTCTGTTTCGAAAAGGGTGATAACTATCCTGAAGAACTGGTCGAAAAATTGTTAAAAACCTACCCTATACAGGTAAAGATCATATTTGTAACTTTATGACTGTTTAATAACTAATTTATTTATTTAATACTTCTTGCACATATAGGACAAAGGTGGACTTATGTGTGCATTAGGCATTCTCTGCCTAAGGGTAGCACAGAGACAGGATATGGCGCAATAAGCTATAATGCTAAAATAACAAAGAAGCATAAAAAATACTATACATATAATTATGCATATAATATCTGTTCTTATGTGTATGCTTTAACATACGCAGTGATTAGCAAGGTTATGACAGTTATCAGAAAAATATATAAACTGCACGGTTAGTGCGGTCGCTGGGCCACCGGCTGCCGCGTAACGTGTGGCGGGTTCGATTCCCGCACGGAGCAACTCTTTATGTGTACAAATTATTGTTTCGGATCTGGGTGTCATGTGTATATGCTATTGTAGGTTTGTTAATAAACCATAATTTTATTTTATTTTAGGAAACCGGCTTTGGCTTTAGAACAGGCTTTAGTTTTCGAAATGGAAACAACGAGAATGGTAATATGGATTGTCCAGCAAACACGACATTTGTTGTAAGTATATTTTAGGTTTTAGTAATATACTCTCTATTCCGTGCTTAAACATATTATTATCAGCATTTACTTGTCCCACTGTTCTGATATTCATCAGTATGGGATTAGTATTTGTTTCTTTCTCCAGTTGAATGACCGTTGCTCAGCAGTGGGCACCCATAGACTATTGATGTATGCACTCGATTGAATTAAAACATTTTTTTTGTTCACAGGACAAACCCATTTACTATATTGTTGATGAATCGGGAATAGTCAGACCAGTCATTCAGTCCCCCAATAAGTTTGAGCAACTCTACAGTACCAGATGGTGTCTGTAAGTATATAATCAGTATTTAGTTAGTTATTTATTTCAATCACAATACAGGCACCACCAATTCACACCATGTTTATACCAATAAAAATGATTCTAAAAACTGCCTCGTTGGCCGAGTGGTCGCAAGTGTGACTGCCGGTCGAAGGGTCTCGGGTTAGATTCCCGGGTCGGGAAAAGTTCTACTGGGTTTAAAAAAATCTCACTAATAGCACGGAGCCTGGAATTGTGCCCGGTTTATGGCAATAGGCTCACCCACTATTACATGGGACTTATAACATAAATAGCGAAAAGTGGGTGTTACACTGTACAGTGGCATCAAGTGCCATAATTAATGTGTACCTCTGCCTACCCCTTCGGGGATAAAAAGGCGTTATGTTATGTTCAAAAACTGTAATTTCATTAGTTGACATTGTTGAAGTTTTAAAGATACCAGAGAGAGATAGTGAGATACTTATTATGGTATAGGCCGGTAAGTAATCGGCGCCCATAGGTATTCGCAAAACTAGCGGAAATACAAGAGCGTTGCCGTCCTTATGGGAATTAAGGATTTGTAGATAGGGAGATTTGGGTCTCCGATAACCTCAATCACAGGGCCTAAGCGTGGTTCTCCCACACTACTGTCCACGTTGCATCATTTGACGAATGCATGAATTCGTCACAAACAATAAGCAGCCTACAAATGACAATACAAATTCTTGCATCTTGCAACGATATATATGAATACAAATGTAACTATGCATACGAAGGTATGTACTATCATCAAATACTGCAACGTGGACAATAGGCCTTAAATATGGAAATGATACTTTTTACTTTACAAAGCATAATTATATTATTGTAACTCTAAAAAATATAATTTATAATGTACTAATACACATACCTAAGTAGGAACCTACCTATGTTTTTATATTGGAACTGGATCGGCGTTTGGTCATTATCTCGTCCGACAGTAAGGTGATGATAGGCCCTGTGATACAAAAATGATTCCTGGTTTATTTATTTCAGGTATCCAGGACCAGTCCGTAGGGATACACCACATTTTTTTCTTACATCACAAAGATTAAAGCGTTTCCAAATCGAGTGTGTTACAACGTACATGAATCTGGATTTCATGGTGTTGG